CAGCGCAGGGTCTCAGCAAGGTGGACATCACTGATGAGTAGAGAAAACGGCGGTGTGGCCGCGGTAGCCCCGCAGGAACCTCCTTTGGCATCATCTCATCGTCACCCTGGCTATTTTCCAGCCAGGTGTGATGCTAAAGAGGAACACCTGCTGATGGAAACCACTTGAAGGGGGTTTTCCTGCTCCTTCATCCCTGAAATATTTACATTTGAGTGATACAGCTGCTCAAAACGAAAACCAGAGACCCCGAGACCAAAGGTCGAGGCTGATGCTTCTGGTTTGATGCCAGCGGTTGCAAGGGAGGAGGAGGGAATTGGGGCTGCTGGCGGGGAGGTCTGGGCACCGCTGACGCCGTCTGTCCTTCCCCAGGCATGGGTCAGCAAAGCGAACCCGCCTTTGCCCCGTCGCTCAGCCCCAGCAGCCCCTTGATGTCACCCCAGCTCCCGCCTTCGCAAAGCCCCATGCTGCAGCCGGCGCCACCGACACCGGGCTACCAGTCGCCTGACATGAAGACCTGGCAGCAAGGAGCCATGGGGAATAGCAAGTAAGATCATGGTGGGCATAACCTGGAGCACACGGGTGACACAGAGAGAAGGCAGCAAGGTGACACCGAGGCGATGGTCCCCTGGTAGGGTGTTGGCAGGGGCGGCGGTGCCCATAGGTGACACCTGGCTGAGGACACGTGCTGAGCTCAGGCCGTGTCCTCACGCCGTGACGTCCTCCAGAAGTCACCATCAACCCAAGTCCTCATGTTCGCCTCGGCTCGGAGGCAGCCAGAAGCCCACAGCATTTAAATGAATGAGCACATGTGTTGAGTAAGACATGAAGCAGGTCTTTGGCTTTTAATTAAACAAGTGGCTTAATTATGTCCCATGAAAGTGGCCTTAAGAAACATGACAATAAATTGAGTCAAGACCAGCCGTCCCAGGTCACTGCGTGACCCTCTTAAGGTGTGTCCAGCTCTGACGTAGGGAAGCAAATGGGAAGAGTCACCAGACTTGTTGCCTTTTTTGCATGAGTCAAGTTTGAGCTTCAGATCTCCAGAAATGGGGGAAAAAAACCCAAAAGCTCACCTGAGGGATGCCTTGCTTTGTGTCTTGGCTCTGTGCAGGCAGCTCAGCAGGAGCACGGAGCAGGAGGTTACTGGGCTGGGTGGGATGAAATGGGAGCTCTGTTGGAGGTGGGATGCTTCACCTTGCCTTGCGATGGAGAGCTTCTCCTGCCTGGAGAAGTGGGGATGGTCGGGAGTCGAGGAGGGCACTGGCAGGAGCGTGAAGGAGTGAACTCAGTGTCACATAGACCAGGGCTTTGCATCTGACTGACCCTTAATCAAGCCCAAAGCCCTGTAATGATCCTTCTCCTGGCACTGGTGTTTCTCCTGCTCTACGCGGTCACACTGAGGAGCCTCTGCTCCAGCAGGAGCGGAGGGCGGATGTCCCCGCAGCGGCCACCTCCCTTCCTCCCAGCCTCCACCCTGGTTAAGCCTTGCTGCAGGCAGCACCCCTAAATGCCTCCCTGTCCCTCCCGCTGTCCCCAGGGACCGGCAGGGCTCCCATCCGCTCCACCAGCTCTCTGCCGCGGACGGTCTCGGCGTTCACCGAGAGGCAGGCTGGCTGCCGTGGGGCCACCCCAGGGGCTCGGCACACACCTCGAGGTGCCTCCCACCGCCACGTAGGCCCGGGTAATGCTTTTTTCTCTCTTCCAGCGTATTCAGCCAAGCGGGGCAGAGCCAGCCGGCGCCTGCTCAGCAGGGCATGTACAACAACATGAGCATCACCGTCTCCATGGCGGGAGGAAACACCAACGTCCAGAACATGAACCCCATGGCCGGACAGATGCAGATGAACTCGCTGCAGATGCCCGGGATGAACTCCATGTGCTCGGAGCAGGTCAGTCCCGCTCCGTCCCTGCTCCCGGGGTGGTCAGCGAGCTCCCAGGGGTTCAGCGCTCGCTTCCCTGGCGCTGGGGGTACCGGTGTCCAAAGGGGAAAGCGGCAAAGTTCTGTCTGCCTGGGCTGGCATTGACGCTGTGCTGGAGCCCAAGGCCATCGGTGCCCCAGGATGTCCCGTGCGTCCTTGGGGGGTGCAGGGACATGCTGAGCACGCCATTAGTCTCCTGGAGGACACGCTTGGCTCGTTGGTTTTGCATGGGAGCGTTGCGGGCGCTTGCAGCCTCCCCAGGGAAAAGCCAGAGGGCTCAGTGAGGAAGGAGGCTGGTCCCTTCCTCGAGCTGGCCGCGGTGCACGGGCTGAGCCGGTGACTTTTATCTCTCGCCGAGCAGTTGGGTGGCGTGAGATGGGTTGGGTGAGGTGCCCCCTGGAGGACACGCTTGGCTCGTTGGTTTTGCATGGGAGCGTTGCGGGCGCTTGCAGCCTCCCCAGGGAAAAGCCAGAGGGCTCAGTGAGGAAGGAGGCTGGTCCCTTCCTCGAGCTGGCCGCGGTGCACGGGCTGAGCCGGTGACTTTTATCTCTCGCCGAGCAGTTGGGTGGCGTGAGATGGGTTGGGTGAGGTGCCCCTGGAGCTGGCAGCAGCCCAAGGCAAAGGTGGGGAGAAAGGAGAAAGAGGTCCCCCCGCCAATCCTCCCCAAACACCACAGCCCACAGAGGATGTCGTCTG